ACGAAAGTCGTTCTCGCTTTCATCCTTATTAACTTATTCCATAAAAACTAATAGAAGATCTTTACTCCTATCCTTATCTTATAGAAGTTATTTACTTCTATTCTTATTACTTTATTCCCTTAATAAGTTATGAAAACTCTTATGCTCCTAACCTTATCTTATAGAAGTTCTCAACTTCTATCCTTAACTCATACATTTAACTATTAGGGACCACCGCGTTATTTATCTCCGTCCGGTGTCCCTATCATTAAGGCAATGGTATTGCTTTACGTATCGCCGTCCAGTAGTGACTCGACCATCTACCGCGTCCAGTAGTGGCCCAACCGCCCGAGCGTTCATAATACCAATATACATACACATTCATACACACACATAAGCACAATGCGTGCCTTCACCTTAAGTAGTCGGTGGGATGCCTCACAAACATAATCGCGCATAATCGTAAAATTAACTAATATTACTTAAAGTAAAAACGTAAACTCAAAGACCTACGACTAAGATATTACACCCTTTACACTTATTTCATATCCGTCAATTCCGACTTCAAATCTGCTCTAACATTTCCAAACTGACTCCCATAACTAATACCCTCGCTTCCACGATTCCGTAGGCGCCGACGGTTCCTCGTTTGGACGTCAAACGAACAAGTTATGGCCAAAATAAGAATTCTGTCAATAATGGTACTTGAACTTGATCGATTTCTCTCCGAGGTGACGGTATTCCAAAGGTCCAACTGTGACCGCCTCTGCTCCTCACTCTCACCTCCATCATGTATATATATTGGGACGGAAGCTTTTTCTTCTGGTCCAATGAGTTCCTCGTTTTCTTTCTTTTGGCCAAGAGCCGCCCTGTTTTGTCTTTTTGGGAGGGGTTTTATTAAGTTTGGGTTGGGGCGGTGCGAGGTTACCAACGAGGGTTTTAATTAGTTTGAGGTGAGGCCGAGTGAGAAATAGGGTTAGGTTTAATTTCCTCGGGGTTATTCTGGGAATTTCCTAATTACGGGTGAGTTTAATTCAAAATTCAGTTAACGTTCATAATTTTCTCACTTCATGTCGAAACTCATCATCATCATCATCAGAAATGAAACAAATCGATCTAGGAAACTTGGAGTCCGCACTCATCTCTAAAGAAGCACGAGCCTCCCCCAACTAGACTAGGAAATCTCCTTACCACCTTACAAAGAAGGTGAGTTAATCGACTCGAGGCTCTTCGAGACGATCTCGTGTCATGCACCATGAAAAAGACGAGATGGCAGGAGTAGCAATTGCCTATTTCCAAATGTGATATTCATCGAATAATTGTAATCCCGCTTTCTTGTTGCAAGGTCTCGCGTTACCTATAAAAGTCACTCATTATACGAATGCTTTTTTGACTTCTCCTGCTACTATCATTGAGATTAAACATACTATTTTCAGCATTGGGAGCTATCAAGCTCCTGGTTATGACGGATTTACCTTGGATTTCTTCTAAGCTAATTGAGCTATCATAAGCAAACATGGATATCTTTGTTGCCAAAGATACCCATTGTAGAAATGATCGTCATCTGCATCTGATATGTTTGTGTTAGGTAATCTACAAGGTAATAGCTAAGATTATGACATCCATGCTAAGTGTGATATTACCTCATGTCGTAAGCCTCCATCATAATGGTTTTGCCCGGAAGCATTCAATTATGAAGTAATGCAATTTCTTAAAACCAAAGTTCATGGACATGAAAATGGATGGCTTTCAAACTTGACATAGAGAAGGCATATGATTGCATTGAATGGCCTTTCCACCTGGGTATTTTGCAGGATTTGGGTTTCTATCGGAAGTGGACTAGGTGAATTTAAGCATGTATCACTATAATCAGCTTCACGGTGCTCATCAATAGCAGATCTTATGGGTATTTCACACCTCAACGAGGAATCTGACAAAATAACCCCCTCTCTTCACTTTTTCGATATTTATACTCGGGCTTTTAGGGCTACTCTTTCTCAATACTTTCAAACGATTTCTTTACATGTTCTAAGAGTCCACCGTCGTGCTCCTATTACTTCTCATTTAATGTTTGCGACGATAGCTACCTCTTCCTCTGTGCCACTAATCCAAAATGTGAAAACCGTCTGCATATTCTTGAGGAATATGGGCATGTGAGTGGTCAGAAGGTTAACCTGCAAAAATCCTTCATTTTGTAAGTACTAATGTGAATGACTAGGAACTTGCTGCCTTTTTAGGGCTAGCTTAGCAACAAGGCCTTCTCCAACAAAGCGAAAAATTTGAGTTTTTGACAGCTTGTTATGCACGGGCAGCCCTAAGTATTTATTTTGCAAGTACTAATGTGAATGACTAGGAACTTGCTGCCTTTTTAGGGAATGACTAGGAACTTGCTTCCTTTTTAGGGATAGCTTAAACGACTGGCCAAAATAAATACTTAGGGCTGCCCGTGCATAACAAGCGGATAAAAACTCAAATTTTTCGCTTTGTTGGAGAATGCCTTGTTGCCTGGATTCGATCCTCAATTTTAAAGTAATGTCACTAGAGGCAAAAATAAACATAATTAAATCTATCGGTTTTGCCTATTCCATTTATGCTATGTCGGCTTTCCTCCTTCCTTTTGTTATGGTGGGCATAAAAAGATACGGAAGATGGAATCCACTGGCTCCCTAGTCTGAAATTTTTCATAGAAAATTTTTCGGTGGCCTTGGCTTTCGAGATTTCAACAGGCCCAATATTGCTTTACTAGCCAAGACGACTTGGCAACTTCTTCAGAATTGGAATTCCATCTGGGTGGTCCCCTACAAAGCATAATATTGCCCTTCTTGTTCACTACTTGAGGCTTTGCCTGGTTTTTGACCATCGTGGGCATGACAACGTATGCTCGTCGATCGGGAATTCCCTTTTGCGGTCTTTGGTGGCATATTAGCAGCGCCCATGTGGTCAGAATTCTAAGTGAATATGGCTTCGCTCTGATCTTCCTTCTTCTCCAACTATTCTCCCTAATGTTACTCAATTTCCTTTTCATTGTGTTGCTAGCCTAATTTGTTCACTACCGCATACATGGAGACAAGATCTTTTACAAGCTCTTTCCATCTCGGGTCCCATTGCTCTCATTTTGACAATTCCCATTCATGCACAACATATTCTAGATAAGCGGATTTGGCACTATTCTGACACGGGCAAGTACACTATGCAGATCAACTTTTTTCCACCAAGTTAAATCGTTCACATCTGCCACCTCCACTGCATTATAATATTCGGCTCTGGAAATGCTTATGGAACTTGCCTGTCCCACCAAATCATAAATTCTTCTAATTGTGGACGGTTTGAGGCTTTAGCCTTGTACGAGCAGTTTTGGTGTTCAAAACCTTGGTTACCAATGGCATTTGCCCCGAGTGCTTAGAAGGTACATAAACATTCATGTGGTCCTTCTTTCAATGTCGTATGGACCATGAATTATGGGAACTGGTAGGTCTGGATTGGTTGTGGGCTCGCCTAGCTAATCTCGAGCTTGCACAATCTTGGATTGCGTTCTTCTTCGATTGTCATTTGTCCAAATTTGATATCACTAATGTGGTGTTTCTTTATTAGCGCCTCTAGAAATCTCGTTGTTGGATGGTTCATAAACTCAATCAATATCGAGGACGAGGGTTACTTTGCCAACTCCTTGCGCAATCGGATGAATGGGGTCTCAGTCCCCATGTCTTTGAATAGAGTAGATCCTTGTCGGCCCAAGAATGCTGCTACAATTCAGAGGGCGCCATCTCGGGTTGTGCAGGACGGTTCTTGTCCATCCAACATGATTCTCATACGATTTTATTGCACTTGGCATTCGAATTCTGGTGGGATACATGGCTTTGTTGGTTTTGCTGAGAATGTGGAGCTACATTTTGTCTTTAGCAAACATTACTCGGGTATTACCAATCCATTTATAATGGAAATTTTTGCTCTGTTTGATAGTATGAACTGGTGTCATGTGAAGTTTTGCGGGGATTGCCAAACTGTGGTGCGGCATGTTCGAGACAATGATGTGGCTCACGACATTGCGGCGTGATACTTGAAGAAGTTTGGTTAGCCGTGTCCTTTTTTACTTCCTTCTCTTGTACATTTACTCCCTCCAAGTACATGAATAGGGCTGTCAATTTAGTGGCTCAAAATTTGGTTCTGACTATCTGTTTATTCTATTTATCTATGACTGGGGATGACAACCAAACTCATGGCCGTGGATATCCGACCGCCCCTGATCTAGTCAACGCGGGAAATCCCTGCATTGACTGGGTATGGGTAAAACCCGTAAAAAGTTTGATGGATATGGGGCGGGTATGGGTAAAACCCGCAAAAAGTTTGATGGGTATGGGGCGGGTATGGGTTTAGCCTCCTCCGCCCCATACCCCATACACGCCCCACAAAGACATTTCTTCACAAATAAAAAATACATTGATTGAATTGTAATCTATTATTAATAGTGAGGGTAACTCATGAAAATAAATAGTAGATATACAATTGAGTGACCACCCAAATCAAAACATGATTCATTTCTCCCAAATCTCCCTTCATTCTTTTACTTTTTCCCTCATGTTAACGACATTATGTTAGAATAAGATGCTTAGAATCGTATTAAGAATGATTGTTTATTTGTCGACTTCATGATATAGTATGTGTGTTTAGTGTTATAATTGTAATTTTACATGTAAAATTTTAGGTATTATAATGTTGGATATACGGGGCGGGTATTACGGGTACCCGAAACACACAGGTATGGAGATGGGTTTGCGAATCCTTCCCCCGCATGGGTATGGAGCGGGTATGAGTTCTGAATTTTGAAAGAGGAAATGAGAATGGTTTAGACAAACACGCCCCAAACCCGCCTCATTGCCATCCCTATCTATCACAAAAAAAAACCTTCATGTATTTTTGTAGATATTATATTATAGAAATAAAATGGGCACAAAATTAATATTTTTGGCAATCCTTCCCCATCCAATTGCAATAATTATTATATTGGTAAAAGTTCAGCAAAATAAACCAAAATATAATATCCCAAAAGACCAAAAGTATTGTCAACCACCATAATAAACTAAGAAAATAAAATATAGCATCTAACAGGCAACAGCTACTTCCATCCCTTTTAAGAAGAGCAAGGGCAAGAGACTACGACTACCACTGTCCACTGACATCAGCGTCGCAAGTTCTTCTTGAAAAGCTTCCAGCTCGCGTTGCCTTGCGCCAGCCTCTCCATGGCTCTCATCCGATTCTCAACCGCCTCCTTGATCTCGTCATGCTGCTTCTCGAACTCATCCAGCTCCTTGGAAGCCTCTCCATTCGCCCTGTCCAGTTCCGCTGCAGTCGACTTCATGTGATCCACAACCTTCGCCTTACGATCAGCCAGTTGCTTGATCTCGCTCTCCAGCTTCAAGTCCTCATCCTGAAGCCTCAACACCTCAGCCTCCAGACCGCTCAGCTGCTTCTTCCTGTGAACCAGCCTCACCTCCGCGGCTCGAGTCATTTCCGCACCGGACGATTCCACGGCATGGCTAGTTTCGATGGCGGATAGAGAGCTCGGGACCATCTCTTTGTATTCGGCCAGGCGAGCGAGCACCTCTTGCAGCACCGTCTTCTCCACCGGATCGGTAGCGTGAGCGGCGATTTTGGTGGCCGCGTCCTCGACCTCGTCGAGCGATTTGGCTCGGGAGATGGCCTCGAGCGTCATGTCGAGGAATCCGTCCAGTTTCTCCCACTGCTGTGGCAGCAATTCGGAGCCGTGGTCTGGGTCTGATGTGTAGCTGCCGTGGCCAGCTCTACTGCTAGTCACTGACGCAAGTTTTGCTATTAGGGTTTTGGAGGTTGATTGCACACTTGATGGAGAGACTACGGATGTGGTGGTTTCTCCAGTTTGCTTATTAGCAGGAGTGCTGATCGCAACCTGAAAACACAAAAGGGCAAAAGCAATCACACAATGTATTGGGAGCTACAAAAAATGCGTGCTCACTCCGATCGTGGCACGATACAATTCGCTTAGCGTTTTTTTAAGAACGCGGTGGTAACTTTATAAATATTGCTATGATGAACCGTAACCCACGATTCAAGGGTTTTGCTTGTAACTCACAAGCGAGAGAAAGACGTTGGTGTCTATAAACCTTTGATTTATTTGATTGATATGGAACTAATGCCAAAGATACATATTTATAGGCTTAGAAAAGCCTAATACTTAACCCTAACCGACCCCAACTCTTAATACGTATCCCGTCCCATAACTACAACTCTACTACTCGGCTGCAACATGGTTCATGAAACCCATACCTACGTACTAAACCTAATAACCTTTAACCCAATAACACAAATACATAATAATCCCCAAAGCCCAATTATTTATTCTCATCAATACCTTCCCCTCCAAAGAACCTTGTCCCCAAGGTTCTGACGTTGACGAAGCGCGGGGGACGACGACGATGACAACTGCAGCTTTTGTGGCGACGTCGAGGCTTTGGTCTCTTCCTGAACTTCCATGAGCGACAGCTAACCCCAATCACCCTTGTCCATTCTCCAAACAAGAAAGCTTTCTTCTGTTGCTTCTTGTGTGCCCTTAGCCGCATTGACTCATGTCCACCGCCGACTGGAAACTTGTATTGCCTCCCTCCTAATTTCTTATGCACCATCCACCCACCTAGTGGAGTTGAAAAAGTGTTGCAGTCAACAATTCCCAAAACAAAATTTTGTACCGTGGGCTTGCGTACTAATGGTTGCTTTTCAAACAAATTCGGAAAGCTTCCATTGACCACATCCGCTCCACCTCCTTTGGCCGGACCGAAGACCTCCTTCCCGCTGCTTTCGGATCGAGGGATGATAGCCTCACATAGGGGTTCATCCAGGAGCACTGTTTCTTTTTCCACGATCTCGTTGACGGAGATCTTGATATCCTCCGCCGCCCTAGGTTCATTGGCGTCGACGCGGGCCACGTCGTCGTCGCTTCGCTTTCCTCCGAAGATGATTGCGCGGTTGGCGTTCAGCTCCCGTTCGCGGCAGAATGCCGTGAACCTTTCACGCGACTTTGCTAGCTGCGCACAGGCGACCTTGGTCTGCTCGAGTGTTATCTTCGCATTGCGTGCAAGGGCGCGGTATGGGGCTAGGTCCAGGACCATGTTACCCTTCCCAGTAGGATGCGTAACCAGGCTCTGATACCAATTGATGAACCGTAACCCACGATTCAAGGGTTTTGCTTGTAACTCACAAGCGAGAGAAAGACGTTGGTGTCTATAAACCTTTGATTTATTTGATTGATATGGAACTAATGCCAAAGATACATATTTATAGGCTTAGAAAAGCCTAATACTTAACCCTAACCGACCCCAACTCTTAATACGTATCCCGTCCCATAACTACAACTCTACTACTCGGCTGCAACATGGTTCATGAAACCCATACCTACGTACTAAACCTAATAACCTTTAACCCAATAACACAAATACATAATAATCCCCAAAGCCCAATTATTTATTCTCATCATGCTACCCCATCCTATGTACTCATTATGGGACACATAATGTAAAAGTACCAATTAAATTACGTCCTTACAGAAATATATATCCCTAAACTAAAACCCATAACACATAACCTTATAAAGAAATACTATGAAATAGAGATAAATGATATGATATAGAGGGAGACAAATGATATATTTGTTGCCAAAGCATAGCTATCGAGATTCGAGACTGTTACTATAATTGCCTCTAATTATTTGCTTCAATAGCCATGTTTTTGTTGTTGTTGTTGTAGTGTGATTATTTACCTTGCTGTTATGCTTGGAAAGCGGCGTGGTGGACGATGCTTTGATTGCAGCTGCTTGAGGTTGATCGTTGGTCTTGATCACTTTCGGTTTAGCATTAGCAAGAGCTTCTGATGATGCTGCCACTTCCTGCAACGAGGATAATAATGAAAGTACATCAACATACATAACAAGAAGGAAAGGAGAAATGAAAGGAATGGAGTCGAGTGGATTCGTTTGACGACTCACGGTAGTAAGTTCAACTTCAATTGTGAGGGTGTCATTAATGAGAAAGCCTTTCAGAGGATCTTGAAGGTCGGCCGTTGAAACAAAATAGTGCCATCCCCATGACGGTTGGTCTGTTTTGAAAACGTGCTCCGCAGCTGCAGTGAGGTTAATTATTAATTTTGATGAGGCGAGTGCATTGAATTGAATGGAACCAAAAAATGAGTTCACTAAATACACAACTAAATATATATATTTAGGTCATTGAAAGGATGTGGAGAAAGGGCGGGCTGGCGGGTGGGTACTCATTTTGACAGGGTTAATCTTGCTGAAGATCATGATTATTCAAGGAAGCGATGAGAGAGATAGCGATGAGAGAGATAGCGAGCGGAGTGAGAGGGTCTGCGAGAGGAGGGAGTGTGATTGCGAGAGGGGCGGGGGTCTCACCTTCATCTAGTTCGTTTGGTTGTGTTCGCAGGTCACAGGTTCTCGGGTCCGGTGGCGGCAGTGGCGACTGGAAGGAAGAATGCTCGCGAGATTCGTGGTTTGGTAACAGGAGGGTAACAATCCGTAAGGAAGTAGTGGGAGTGGCTGCGTGGTACAGAATTCAGGTTGAGGAAGGACCTAAGGGCTGGTTCATCCTCCTCAACGAAGGGCATCTGTCATGGCTTCAAGGAGTCCTCCAAACGGCGGTTATGAAAGGGTGGCAGTTCCCTAGAGGGTGTGTCAAGAAATGTGGAGAGAGGACGATCCACGTTGGGAAGAAAATTGCTGGTTACAGGTCACTTCTGCAGATTTCGGAGTTGGTTAAGAACGGTCGTTCTTTCAAGGTCCTCATTCCCCAGTCGGAGCAGGGAAGCGGATGGGCGCAACTCACCGCTTTATTGCAAGACTTTTACCATGTTGAAAAGCGTGGTTGCCGCCTGCCCGTGGTTCCTACTTGCAGCCCTCCGCGCAATCCGGCTCTCCCGGACACGGCAAAGAAATCTTATGCTGAGGTCGTCAGAAGCGGGGGCTTTTATGGGGCGGGCAGATGTTGCATCAAAGGAAATGGCTTAGACCGTTACATTGATATTGATAACGTCGGTGTTCCAGAGAGATGTGAGTTGTTGAGAAGGAGCTTGATCATCTCCCTTAAGCCGTTGGCTGTGGATCGTCTGGTTCGCGAGGATTTTCAGGATTTCAAGCGATGGGCGAACAGGCACTGGGCCACTGATGATAACTTTAACTGGCACGAGATCGATTGCGGAGAATGGTTGTTAACTTGTCCCAGCGCCCAGCATGCTATTCGCATCAAAAGTTTCAACCAGTGCAACTTCAAGAATTCCCCCATATCCATTTCGTTTTGGTCAGAGAAGGGACAGGAGGTTAAGCTCGATGATTCCCAGTGGATTATTGTTTTCGGGATCCCGGTTCATTTGAAGAGTATCGACCTTATTAATATGATCGGGAATTTTTGTGGTTCGTTGGTGGAGGTGGACTGGAACCATTGGTCCGCCGATTTCATCAGAATCCGGGTGAGGGTGTGCGGCGAGCTACCGACGTCCATTCCAGTTCAGTTCGACGGGGAGCGGTTTCCAATTCAAATTTTTTCGGCGTCCACCCCGGAAGCTCCCTCAGGCAAGGAGTTGAATCGCCCTGCTTCGTATGCCGCTCCCATGCAACCAATACGCCGTCTGCTTTTGGAGAGCCCGAGGGCGAATAAATTGGGGGATAGTCCAAGGAGAGTCGATTCGTTTACGGCGGCGGGGCCAGGCCGGTTGCAGCTTGCCAGATTCGGCAACAGCCCCGCTGATTTGGGCCGACCTGTGAGGAGGATGTGGGTAAGGAAATTCGGCCCTATTAATCGTCCGCCCCTGGGCTCATCAAGGCCTGAAGTTCGTGAGGAGGCCGGGTGGGCCTTGTCTAGCCTTGGGCCCACGCCTTGTGCTCAGATGGCTGGTGGGGATGCGACCAAGATCCTTTACCTGTTGCTTCTCAATTCTGTGCCCAAACTCAACCCTGCCCAGAATGAGTTGGGTTGGCTTCGCTCGGTCCAAATCTCAGGGGGATGGCTTATCGATTTCGTACCCATCAATCGCAACCTAACCTCTCGTTTCTGCTCCATTTCCTTTGCACCCAGCTCAGCCAATCTCCTCTCCGATGACCCCTCCGACCTCTGTTCCACCGATCTCTCCTCTCCCCCTCTTCTCACCTCCCCCCCCTCCTCCCCCCTTAGCCTGCCCCCCACCCAAACCCAAGACAGTCCGCCTGCATCCCCTAGCTCGCTGTCCTTGATTTGTTCCAGCATAGGGGATCCTGATCTCCCCTCTCCCTCTTGTGTTCCGGACAGTCAGGCTAGGGTGAGAAGTCAAGAAGAGTTCCCTTTCGACGCCGCCACTCTCGTGGCCACCAGCATTGATTTGAGCAGATTATTCAGTATAGAGTTGGAGCCTGGAGTCGGGGATGTGCAGAAGATTATTGAAATCAATGCGACGGAGATGCATCAGAGAAAAGTCAGACATCCTAGATCCAAACTTGAGATGGAACGGCACAGATTAGGCCCGATTGATCCGCCGGTACCAGGAACTCGTAGGAGTCGAAGAAGGGATGGGGAAGGAGGTGTCGAATCATTCTGATGGAGTGCTCCATAATTGTGTGGAATGTGAGGGGTGCGGGCGATTATGCGAAGAGAGCCAGGATCAAGCGGTGTTTGGGTTTGAGGAAGCCGAAGGTAGTTGGTCTCGTGGAGACTAAGTGGAACGTGTGCAATGGTGAGCTTATTTCGAGCATCAGTGGGAACAGGGACAGCGGTTGGGTTGCTAAAAATGCAGAAAATAGTGCCGGCGGGATTGCAATTTACTGGGATAAGGAAATCGTGAGATCCGTATCTAGCAGGGAGGGGCGTTTCCATCTTTCGGTTGACTTTCAGGAGGTGAATTCCCAGAAATCTTGGACTCTTTCAGTGGTGTATGGGCCGCAGGAGAGGGAAGCTAAAATGGAGTTCATCAGAGACTTATATCCCCTGTGCTCGAATGTCGCTAGCCCTTTATGCATTGCCGGCGACTTCAACCTGGTGAGAAGCCACGAGGATTACAGGGGTGGAAGGCGCTGTACGCTGCTCATGGATCAATTTAATGACGCGATCGACAACAATCAGTTGTTGGAGTTACCCCTTGGTGGTTGCAATTTCACATGGGGCAAAGGGGATGGTTCGGGGTCCCTTTCGCGCATCGATAGGGTGTTCGTTAACGCAGCTTTTGATATACAGTATCCTGACTGCACGCTGACTGCTTTGGAGAGGGTTGAGTCAGACCATAATCCATTGTTAATCAAATGGGGAGCTTCTCCTAGCATTCGAAGGCCTTGGAGGTTCCTGAACATGTGGCTGGAGGACCAGAGATTCTATGAGGGCCTTGAAGAGTGGATGAGGAACACTGTGAATGGGCAGGGTAAAGCTTTCCTGTGGGTCAAGAGGTTGCAGAATCTGAAATTGAACATCAAAGCATGGAACAAAGAGGTCTTCGGCAATGTCAATTCGAAGGTTGAGGAGGCTTTGAGCCATATCAAAGAGCTGGATAATGTCGAGGAATCACGCAACTTAACTGACACGGAGCAAGAAACAAGGCAGAATCTGAGATCGGATTTAAGCAGACTTCTTTATCTCCAAGAGATTCATTGGAGACAGCTTTCTAAGGAATTGTGGCTGAAGGGAGGAGACAGTAACACGGGCTTCTTCCATCGGGTTGCTAATTACAAAAGAAAGCTCAACCTGATCGACTGCATCAACATCAACGGAGTAAGACATGAAGGGAGGGATCTGCTCGGCAGAGGCATTGTGGGATATTACCAGAATTTGTTCAAAGATCCCACCCCGAGGCGCCCTTTCCCAAGGTCGCATACTGATAGGAGAATTGATGCTGCCGACGCTGTTCTCCTGACCTGTCCTTTCTCCGAGCAGGAGGTTTGGGCCAGCCTGGTGGACTGCGATGGGGGGAAAGCTCCTGGGCCGGATGGGTTTTCTTGGGATTTCTATAAAAAGGCTTGGTTTTTCATCCGGGAGGAGTTTATGAACGCTTTTTCTGAATTTTACAGTACGGGTGCCCTCCCTGAGTGTGCTACGCACTCCTTCTTATGTCTCCTCCCGAAGCGCGATGCTGTGGAGGACATCAAGGATCTCCGTCCTATTAGCCTGATGGGCAGTCTGAACAAAATCATTAGCAAGGTGCTTGCCCGTCGCCTCAGCAAGGTTCTTCCCATGATCGTGTCCCAGAATCAGCATGCCTCGGTTCGAGGAAGGCAAATTTCAGAGGCTGGTCTTATCGCCTTTGAGTTGTTGGATAGTCGCAGAAAGAGTCGTAAACCGGGACTTATGTTTAAGCTTGATATTGAGAAGGCGTTTGACAACGTGAATTGGGACTGTTTGTTCAAGACTATGTCTTCTCTCGGGTTTCCGGCACAGTGGAATAAATGGATCAGAGGTACTATGTGTTCACCGGTTATCTCCACCCTGATAAACGGAGAATCGAAGGGGTATTTCAAACCGCAGAAAGGGTTGCGTCAGGGCGATTCTCTCTCGCCCGGTTTGTTCACTCTTATTATGGATATCCTTTCCTTCATGTTGAGCAAATTGCAGGAGGAGGGGAAGATTAGGGGTTTCTGCATGGACGAAGTGAACGGTTATGGCGAGGTGACCCATCTTCTGTTTGCCGACGACACTTTGATCTTCTGTGACGCTGCCTACGATCAAGTTCTGAGTATTCTCGCAGCTTTGGTGTGTTTTCAGAGTGTTACGGGTTTGAGGATCAATCTTGAGAAATCGGTCATGATTACTGTCGGGGATGTCGTGATTCCGGAGTTTTTTGCTGGCATTTTTGGGTGCAATTGGAGCGATGAGCCATCGAAGTACCTGGGCTTCCCTCTAGGCGCCAAGGTCAACGCCATATCCACTTGGGACCCCATTATCAGGAAGTTTGAGCAGAGGTTAGATGGTTGGAAGAGCAGATTTTTGTCCTTCGGTGGCCGATTGGTGCTCACCCATA